TGTTAATAACACTACAGTGCTGGCTCAGGAGCGGCACTTGTACCCAACTAAGAATGCGCAAGGCTGCAGAAGCCGTAACGCGGATGGAGACTACATTAGGAGAATCCTGACTACTATGTGATGTTTTCTGTGAGTCTTATTCTAAAATAAAATTTCCCGGAAGAAAAAGTGGTTAACACATTGGCTAATTTTCAAGACATTATTTAAGTTACCACAAAAACAGCAGAACCCAGGAGATCTGGGGAACCCAGGAGCCCGGACACACCCAATGCAGTTTCAGCACTGTAAGAGGAACAGGAAAAATAGGTGGTTCCCTTTTTCTCTTCCCACCTGCTTGAGAACCACCTTGGAAGAGGTCCCAATCTCTTGTTGTTAAAAAAAGTTTACAGACCAATCGTTAGGTAAAGTACTACTGCTGGAATAATTTCTGTGCCCTCAATCACTACATGAAATTTTGTTTTCAGGCTTTAAACTCATCTCTTATATATCTGTCAAAGTGTTAAGTTTAAATAACATCATAATAAAGTCATTTATAAATTTTTATTAAATGTCAGTAATTTTTACAAAGCAAATATTAATAGCAACAGGCAAAACTTTTTGGCAAATGTTTACATGAGCAAAAAGCCTTAAAGAATAGCAACTCATTTTATAAAATCAAACCTCTTTTCCATTTCTAGACCTCCCTTAGAAATAACTTATTGACAATCCTGGACTACAGCACTGACCAAAAAAAAAAAAAAAAAAAAAAAAAAAAAAATTTACAACATTTATCATTTAATGTGCTTGGTTCTTAGAAGGTTATAAAAGATATATAAAAACCCCCAAGCCACAAGTACGTTTATACAGAGCTAACACGGATCATGTTTTGTTAGGTACAGTAAGTGTGTCAGAGGTTGTAACACAATACACTTTTGGATAAGGCTTCTTGTCATAAGTGAGCTCTTACCATAGAAGAATAGAGAAAAGCCACTTAAAACAGTTTGCGACTCTGCTTTTCCAGTAAGAGGTAAGGCATAGTTTGTTGAATGGTTACATAAACTTAAGGATTAATCCCTTTCCTCTCTCTTCTATTCCTGGTGTCATCAAACAGGCATCGATTGAGAACAGGTCATCAGTTAGTACAGTAAGAATATTAGAAATGAAGCTTTTAAAACACAGACTAGCATCACATACCAAGTAGTTTATTACTACCATTGACATTCACTGAATGAAAATTTGTGCTAGTATCAGTCCCAGACTCCATCTGAACAAATCCATCACTGACAGCAGATCTGTAGAGGTTACAATTACCAACTCAGGAAAGATCGCCCTGCCACTAATGCTTTAAAAAAAAAAAAAAAAAAAAATCAATGTTCTGTGTAAGTTCTGGCATTTGAAATCAGGTGGTTATACCTGAATGGTGAACATATTAATTTAAGTACTAACTATACATTCATGACAGGCTAATAATGCCAGTGGCACAAACACTGCGCTTCCAATGAGATTAGTGACCGCCTGCCAGCCCCAGGCCAGTACCTACTTGATTTAAAATGTTCAGGTTTCGGATACATTTATTAAGCCCTAACCTCGTACCATCAAGTAACAGGCGCGCGCTGCCTCACCTGCTTTACCTGCAGCACTGCGACACATACACCCGTGCGTACTCTTCTCTCCCCTCTTCACGGTTACTAGATTTTGGACAGACTCTACACTAAAAACCAACTGGTATCCTAGCGTAAAGGAAGGAAAGGAAGAGGAAAAAATCCAGTATTTTAACTCAAACAGCACAACACAAAGGTATCTTATTATTTCACAAGCTGAAATGATGGAAAAAAGAACAAAGTAACCAGTTCTGTCAAGATTTCCAAAGGAAAAGGTGTGTGCAAGGCTTTTTCTTGATTCCTCAAATAAAACTAATAAAAGAAATGAAAGGGTAACAGAGTGACTTCTCTAGATTTATTAGGGAGTTTGTTACAAATGTCTGACTTGGTTTTACAGGCATGATTCTATGAATTCGAACAAGAAATTAAGAGTTAACACTGTTATTTAGCCTCATTACATATGTAGAAATAATACAACTACAAACAGCAATGGAGAAAGAACCTCGTTTCAAATGGCTTCTTTGTGGTTTTGTCTACATATATCATTAAATAATGAAAGCACCAATTTGAGGGTTTCTCAAATAGTGATTTGAGTTTCAGAACATAACAGCATAATTTGCTAACTTCACTCTTTTATAAGGCATAACCAGACATATGTACTAAGGCTGAAAAATATAGCTTATGAAAAGCAGAAGATAAAGTATATAGGTACACACTAAAAGTTAAGATTTAATTACAGGCCACGAGATTTGTTTCATCTAAATCAATACTTCTAGTTGTTTCTGCATTAAGGTGTCCTGTGCCATCTACTTTAAATCAACCACTGCCACCAGCTGAGCGAGGACTTCTGCAAACAGCCTGTATTTATAAAATTAACCACAGGACTTTCTCTAAGATATTAGTCAACACCACTTAAGAGAAAACAAAAACAATCTTCCCTTTTTCCTCAGCTGCAGCTGCACCCCAGCTGTGGAGCACCTTCCCCATGTAACAATATTGAAATGAAGATCCAATTTAATATACTTGGCAGAAAGCAACAATGCAGGGTACTAAAGTGATATTTAAGTGGTAGAGGCATGCTTCGAACTGCTTCAGTCTTTAAAAACATCTGAAATAAAAACTCCCTATAAAAATTAAGGTCTAAGTTGTTGATCTTTGATAATTAAGGCAACTCTGTATACTGTAAATTTTTTCAAGGTCCACAAAGACATGTGGTATTTCCTCAGATTAATGAGAAGGCAGTCAGAAGCGCAGAAAGCAATATGCAAGAACGAGGCACATTTTGTTCCAAATCATAACCAAAGATTTGGAAAACTGAATACACCGAAGAGCTTTAAATCTGAGTTACTTTTTAGAGACTGAGGGGAATAGGAGCACCTTTTTTAGTTCTGATCATTAAATTTCATCTCCCTTTTCATACAGTGGTATTTCAATTAAAAAAGGATCTGGTTTCCATGATACAAGATTTCTTTCAAATGGTTTAAAAAATACACTATACAAAAACATGTGGGCCTACAGTCTTTGAGCCTTACAGTTCTGAATGTCTAAACAAGTGTGCGGAACTTAAATGCAAGTAACTTTCTGCCTGACAATACTCACCCACCCCCCAGGGACTGAACTTGCAACCTTGTGCTTGCCAGACACAGGCTTATGCCGCTGAGCTGTATCCCTAGCCTCAGCATGCTGATTCTGAGACACTACATGGACGGGAAGAAAACGGCAAATACCCAATGATAGCATATCTAGTTGCTGGGTTAACATTTCTTCATAGTAGCCAAAACGGAGAAGCTTGGCTACTTTTGCTGTCAGGCAATACTTACTGTTATCACAGACCTTAACTTAAGCAAACTCAAGCCTCCGCTTTCCACAGGAACCTGACTTCGGCCTTCAATGGAGTTCAATGCCTTGGCCATTCAGTAACAGTTTGCTAGATTTACACAAACCACTCACAGACTCAGTGTTGCCATGCACATATTCAGAGACAGCATTCAGTAGCACTGGGTTCTACTAACCCTGCAAATTTAAATACTATTCTCTTGGCAAAGAGCACTAGATGTAGAACCATTCAAACATGCACAATTTATATTGTGAAGGTTATGATGTTGGGCAACATGTCTGAAGCTCATGTATACCACGGCCGAAGCACAACTGGAATTCATACGGATACGACAGTGAATCTTCAAATATGAGAAAAGCAGGCATGCCAAGAACAAGTCCCCGGCTGGCACACTGAAAGGCCCAGCTCTCACATCTGACAGAAAGACAAAACAAGAGCCTCTGCCTCGGAAAGGCCGGGTGAGCCACAGTGCCGACCCATCTTGCAAGGTCCAACGGAACACCTGAGAACACGGTCAGCTACACAGGAACTAATACATCTCACAGTCATAATCACAATTTCCAGGAAAAGCAGAGAAGCTGTCAGACTTTGCAAACCGCCACCAACCCGGCACATGTGTCTCTACCCCATTTTCAGACCACACGTAGCCTCCCAGGCAGCATCTGCAGTACTGTCAACCAGCCACTCTGCCGAGCTCACCATGATGCTGTAGGTTTAAATTCGGTAAGCAGTGAGGGGAGGACAAATGTAATCACCTCTAGGTAGGACCGGAGAGACTACTAATTCTTAGAAGCATTCTTAAGACATTCAGGATGTACCTCAACAAAGTTGGCATCTCACAACAGTAATTATACAAACATGTACACACTGTATCTTTTAGCGACATACCAAGAATGAACAGGAATCTCAAATAATACCTTCCTAAATAGTCTGACATGAAAATACTGCCCTTGGCAAGCTTCATACAAACAAATGAACCCCTTAAATGCCATAGTCTATAGTTGTTGGGGACTGGCCAGGGAGCAAGAGAGAGGCAAAAATGCAGACCGGCTCTCCTGCAGGAAGGAGGGACACCAGGCAGGCACATCCAGGCAGGCACATCCAGGCAGGGCTGCGAGGTGGCACACACAACACCCTGGCACAGATGTGTGTTACGCTCAGTTGCCTGCAGTTCACAGGAGCTGCAGTGGCCAGAATGCTTCACTGTGGCAAATTAAATTACACGATGATCAAACATGAAAAAGGCAAACTACTCCATCATTGTTTTTGATCAAAACACTGTCTATAGTATTTGCTCATCTTTCTGCTCCTGGTACCATTTGCCAACTCTTTCACATCAGACCAGAAATCCTTATGTAAACTTTAAAACACTAAGAACATTACCTTCAGAGCCACAGAAATTAAAACAGCTGTTGTGTATGTGTGCAATTCCAAGCACGCGAAGGCCACAGCTGTGTACAGTGATCGCCACTCCTTACACCCAACTGTTTTCTGACGGCCCTTTGAAAACAGCCATCCTACAGCTAGGTGGTAAGTTCACCGCCTGTGTAAGGCGGGCTGAGGATCTCTGTTTCAGAGCTGACTATTCCTAAGCTTGCTCCTACCGGTACTCAGAGTGCTGTCTGTACTTGGCACTGGAGGAGAATTCAGCTTGACCAGTGAAGAATGGAAAAGCCTGGCACACACGTACGTAGTCTGTGGCTGGCCAACCACCATGTGGACTTGAATGGAAGCTACAGCGAGACAGCAAGGCCCAGCTCCCGGCAGGTGCTGGTGATGTGTTACTCAGCAGCTTTTAGCCACAAACCAAAGGCGCAGAAGGCTTAAGATTACCTAGAAATCAACTTTTCTAATTCCTGTTGTAAACTGCTATTTTTAAAAACAAAACATAACCAACAGAAAACAATGAAAAACACAAAAAGGTATTACAATAGCAAGTCTTCTGTCCATCACTGTAGCATGAGCTGCTTGAGGTTGTCATGAAGAATAGTATCCTTCACATCCCGGAAGACAAGGCGGATGTTCTCCGTGTTGATGGCGGTGGTGAAGTGGTGGTACAGGGGCTTCTGCTGCTGGTCCCGGCGTTTGTTCCGGAAACATTCCACCAGGAATTTTTGGACGTCTCTTAAGCAGTGTGGATCTCCTTCAAATTCTAGGAAATAGTCTTTGATGCTCACAACTTGTACTTTCTCCTCAAGCAAGTCTGTCTTGTTTAAGAAGAGAATTATCGAGACATTGCTGAAAACTCGGTTATTGACGATTGTTTCAAAAATGTTTAGAGATTCTGTAAGGCGATTGGTCAGTCGATCCTCCATGAGCACCTGGTCAAACTCACTTGAGGAAACAAGAAAAAGTATCGAGGTCACGCTGTCAAAACATTCAAACCAACGTTTCCTTTCTGATCTCTGGCCACCTACATCAACCATCTTGAAAGGAACATTTTTAATTTCAAAGTCATACTCGTGAATGCCTTTGGTTGGTCTTCTGGCAAGCAGTATATCTTGCTGGGATGGAATGTAATCCTAGAAAAGAAAGTTTTATTTTTAGTAACTGAGAAGTAATTAATATGATTTCTAATGTGTTACTAATTGGTCCCCTGAATGGATAAGCAAACAAAATTATCTTTTGAATGACATTTTCTGATATTGAAGTATCAAATATTGTTACTATCATTCTCATTTAAAAAATGTCAAGATGCTCCTGTAATCCCTGCTACAGAGGTGGCTCTGGCTACCCGGGAGCCTGAGGCAAGAGGACAGCAACATTTGAGGACAGCCTAGGTCATTTACCAACACGTTGTTTCAAAATAAAAAAGGCTAGCTCAGGGGTAGAGTGCTTGCCTACCACATACAATGTAGCCCCTAAATACAATCACCAGTATTGAAAGAAAACACCACGGAAGAATGGCCCCAAATTAACCCCAAGAATGGCCCCAAATTAACCCCAAACGACCCGCACCTACTCTTTCCGGCTGTGCAATGCCACGCACAGCGGAGGACCAGCGTTCCACTTGCGCCCGCCCACCCCGCCTTCAGTCCCACTTTCCACCACCCACTCGCGGGTGCGGCTGGTGATCTCACTGCCTCCACACTTACCACCCCCCACTGCTCCTCTACTAAAAGCAGGGTCTGAGTCTAATACGATTCATTAGGGTCACTCTCCATGCCTGCTTCTGTCCATTCCTCCCTGATTAGTTTTTTTTTTTTTTTGCGGAACCGGGGATTGAACTCAGGCCCTTGCACTTGCCAGGGAAGCACTTATTCTACTGAGCCATCTTCCCGGGCCCCCTCCCTGATTAGTTCTAAGCGTTCCTACACTGATAAGCAGGGACAGGTCCACACTACCACTGCCATTACAGTCAATGTGTGGGAAATATTTTCTGAATGATGTGGTGTCTCTGTTCACAAACTTGATTCTTTTCACGACCTGGTCACAGTGTTGGATGAGGACAAATGAATTCAACAGTTGGGTTCAATGTGACCTTACGGGGAATTTTGATCTGGTTCTCAGCCAGCTCCGTCTGTAACAAGAGTCCTGCTGAGCTGAGCCACCATATAACCGACTAGACACATGCCCTTTAGGGCTACCTGCTAGGCTTGCTTCCCGGGGCTACCCAAGCAACTATGTTCTAGTTTTCTCATTTGTTGATCTAAGATTTCAGGCCTGGCCACTTAGTCTGAGTGTCACTACCCATCTGGGAAGGGGAAGGATCACACGGGCCGTCTGCCCTGGGGGAAGGTCTATGCACAGATCTAGTGAGCTCTGCCGAGCTTCTGAGCAGAGCACTGGAGATCCTGAACCAGGACGGCTGCCAGCTGCACCCCGAGGGTGCACTTCCTCACCCAATGGAGCTGGGTCTTCCTTTTCAGGAAGTGTTTTTCCGTGTTCAGACAGCTTTGGGGCAGTATGTGAACTGGGGAAATTTTAATGTTCATCATTATGATCAAGATATTTTAAAAATCAAGGCAGCATTTAAAGTAAGGCTGCCATTCACAATGCTGCCTGTACTGTATGCTTACCGAGTAATGAAACTGATCTCCAAATTGTATAAGAGGAGTACTCATCTCCTCAGAATGGGACACTGGACTAGGAAGAACAGGTGCCTTTAGTTACTAGGAACCCTCAGCTCAGCTCCACACAGCATGGCTCGGGGTTCCACGTGTGCTACCTTCTCTCCTGGTGTCTGCTCCCAGGCACACCTGCTTCTCTGATCATCAGCATATGCGCACTAGTTGTAGCCTGCCATCAGTTTTCCATATAGTAACTTGTTCTGTATGTTGGTAGTGCGATATCTCCTTTTAAGAGATTTTATATATTGCCAGGCATGATGATGCATGCCTGTAATCCCTGTACTCAGGAGGCTGAGGCAGGAGGACTACCCACAGTTCAAGACCAGGCCGGGCTATACAGTAAGTTCAGCTTGAACTACATAGTGAAATGCCTTTCTAAAAAATGCCTTTTTATTTCTAAAAACAGAAATAAAACAAACAAAAAAATACCACAAGTCCAAAAGATTTTATCTACCAAAGGTATCAGTGTGCTATAATTAACATTCTCTACTGGCGGTCACTGAGGTTGTTTCTAATTCTTTATTCTCTTAACAGAAATGCTGCAATTAAATTTCTCACACACTTTAGTCTTCCATATGGACTATTTCCTGAGGAGAAAAATAGAACAGTAGTAAGATTATGAAGTCAAAGGTCCAAATATTTTAAAGATGCTGGACACTCAAAGACAACTTTCCAGAAGGCGCTACCAGTTTATTGTGAATGAGTGTGCACCTACTTCAGATATGCCAGCTCGAAGGCATCTGAAAAAGATGTCATAAAAATAAAAACTTCTCAGCCAGTGTGGCAGTGCACACTTGTAATCCCAGCACTTGGGAGCTGAGGCAGGTGTGTCACTGAGTTTGAGGCAGCCTCGAATACCTGCCAAGGCATTGTCTCACCGCTCCCAAGAGTTCTCTGTAAGTGTCTCTACTACAAAGAACAACATAGTTAGCAAGGTCAAGTCACGTGCACGCAGCGAAGCACACAGGACAAAGCGATCCAGTACTGACAGGGCGGAGTGCGACTCTCACAGCCAGCTTACAGCTCGTGGGACCTTGGGCAAGTCATGGAGCCCGTTTCAGATCTCTCAGATGTGAAATGTAAGGCGAAACTCAGGCGGCGGCGAGGACTGAGTTACACGGGTAGAACACTTCAGAAGTGTGGCTGCAAGAGCACAGAGTGCACCGGAGGAGGGAAAGCCACACACACTTCTACTTCAGCCTCTCACCTTTCCACGCCACCGGTCATGTGTACTTGATAAACTATGCATAGTCACACACAATTACTCAATCAGAAACCCATTTTCTTTTCATTCCTTTAAGTACCCCAAGGTATGTTTTCTACCTCTTACCTCAGTTTTATTAAGATTCCCTGTCCCCTTAAACTTGTCCCTGTTAGTGGCTCTTTTGTATCAGACCCTGTTGCTCCTTCTCTGAATCTGTTACACGTCCTCTTGATTCCCACACTGCTCCCATTTATCATCCCAGGCATGGCCTGTTCTTTGCCCTGAACACCTCACATCCCTGAGCCCCACTCTGGCTACTGCAAACCTCCTCCAAACTAACCCTCCTGCATCACAGGCCCCAACTCCGGATGTTCCACCGCATCAGCCTGACCTCTGCTCGCCCTCAGGGCCACACTGCTGATGCTCACCACTGGCCTAGCATTAGGACCTGCACAGAGCTTCACCTCTCGTGCCATTGTATGTTCATGCACTGGCCCAGTGGAATGAGGACGTCCTCAGTCACCACCTTCTAGAGTCTGTGTTGACACAAGTCAGAGCCAAGGGCGGCTTCATCCATCCTCACCAGACAGATGTGCCTCCTAGACGCAACCCATCCAGCTGTCTCCATCCCACTGGGCCCTACGTGCCCACATCCAGTCGAGCCTCAGGCAGGTTAGGCTCACTTACTCTGGTGAACTAATGCTATCTTTACGACTGGTATCATGTGACTGTCTTTTTGTTTTATATATACTAGCTGTGACTAGACTAAGCTCCTTTACTTGATATACATAGCAAAGAATGAAACAGCTAACACCAGACATTTATCACAGGACTCCTTTTTCAAGGATTAGTTCACAAAATGCCCACGACTAAGGTCCAGGTGCTTCCACCACGCCCATGTTATGGACAAAGAAGCTGCACTAATTTAGAGCTCCTGAGGTCACACAGTCAGTCAGTGATGGAGATGGTACAGGAACGCAAGCAGTCTGGCTGCAGAGCCCATGTCCTTGGCTCTCGACCTGTTCCACCTTCCAGAATGTATCGGGCAGCGGGGGTGATGTATGGCATGCATGCTGCGCTAGGCTGTTTACTACCATTAAAAGCTCTAAAAGGTCAGCCATCGCTGGCATAGCACTTCACACACAGCAGGCCTCAAAGACTACAAATACGCTTCTTTAACTTGTCCAATATGCGCAAAATGGGTCATAACGATGCAACACAGGCAGGTTTTTTCTCCCCTCTTTTACAACTAGAGGGGGCCTGCCCATTAGCTCCATTGTTTAAGTGCCTACTTAAGCAAAGGCAGTCAGGCTCAGGATATTGTGGTCTGATCCCCAGATCCTCATGCCCTTCCAGATCTGCCCTGAAGGCATCCTGAGGCAGCAAAAAAAAAAAAAAAATCCTTCTTTTACACCTACCTGCTGACCCTGTAAATCCTGGCTGGGGATTTAGCCAAGTGCCGCAGTGCTTGTCTGGCAAGCATGAGGTCCTGAGTTCAATTTCCAGTATTCCAAAAAACAAAAACAAAACTAAAGCCCTACAAGTACAAAAGCTTTTCTCTGTTATTCTGCATGTGCCTTCCACATGGTTCGCAACATAAAAGCGTACACAGCTATTACAAGCTGATGAGAAGGGCCCAGAGTACTCACTCAGAGGCTCTGTGCTGAGTGCCTACTTCGCGTCAGGCACTGTCACGAGGCACCCGAGACTCACTTCCTGGCCCTCATGCAAAGAGCTGAATAGAAAGTAAATGTAAAATAATATCCACAGCCAACACCTACAGTGAAGGGGTGACGCGAGGGCTGATAGCGCATGGGGAGAGCGAGGGCCTACATGCAGGGCAACCTCAGGGGAGGGCTCTCCGAAACTAGCCCGTTCATCTACCAAGGTGTACGACCTCCAGTGGGCCTGTTCTAAACTTTTGCTTTATGGTACAATCAGATGAGATGGAAGAGAGATAATAAAGTAGACTTCACTACAAAGTTTCACTAATGGGGGCTGAATGGATAAAAAACAGAATAAAGCGTGGAGATCTCAACTTCTGGGGTGCATCTGTGTCTAGGAAATAAGCAAAAGAACAACATTCTGACTTAAAGGCAGATATGACTCAGAAATTAGGGACAATGTAAAATTAACCTGACCAGGAAAAAACTGTGCACTGTCTTGCATGTCCTAAATACAGCGGTGTGTGCTACTTTCCCGCCTGGAACAGGTTCATTTAGCACTCTTCTTCAGGCAGATTTATACTTTACAATCGCAAAGAATCCGTAAGACTGGACTAATACTACATGGGAACTTGAAAGGAGGCAAGGGATGCTACACTGAGCTTAATGAGCAGTAAATGACTTCAGGCAACGCCCCCCAACATTCTGAGCTCTTCTGTGCCCACATTCAACAGCGGCCACACAGTGACCCTCACGCCTGTCATGGGCCCAGGACCCCACAGCCAGACGGGCCCCCAGCTCTGAGGGCGATCCTCGGGGAAGACGATGGCGTGCTGCCTCCAGTCATGCCTCTGCCCTGAAACCCGCAGGACTGCAGAACGGCCGTGCCGAGAGGTTCGAAAATCCATCAACCCACTGCGTTCTTTTAATTTCTGCTCACAAAAGTTCCCAACAACATCAAAAGATAATAATGTATAATTTCACTTCCAAACATAAATCTTAATGGTTTTACTTCCATGAAATAGTAGAGAAGATAATTCTTCAAGGAAAATGGCAAAGGCCTAAATAATAGGGGAAAATTTAAAAAAAATTCAATATTCTTAGCTCCTTATCAGACTAAAATAAGCAGGATGAGCCAGATTACTGCCACTAGGAAAAACAATGACTCAAATTATTTATTACATAAGTGCAAACTAACATTTCTGAATTTCCCAACAAGCTGCACCCCCCAAAAAAACAATCCTACTGTGAGGACTGCATCAGTTAAGTACAAACACTCAGTTTTAAAACTTACTGGTTCTCCAAGTTTCTCCAAGTTATCCAGGAAATATTTTACAGATTCACCCTAAAAACAAGAAGAAAACAGTTATGAGGGGGATTGTACACTCACACCACAAATACTTCAGCTAGCTGCCAGCTCAGAACTGCGGCATCTTCTTAAAAGCACAGCTCTGCAAGGGACAGGTAACTTCGCAGATGCTTCACTATGGGATACCACCAGTGATCGTCCATTTGGATGAGATTTCACGTGCTTTTGGAGAGAACTCCATATCCAAAGGGAGTATGTAATTAAAATGTGAAAACTGTTTTTGAGATAAACATAAATCTCTAAGCAAAATGTGACATCCTTTCCACCTATATTTTCTATCTCTAGGAATGCAGATCTCTCCAGGAACAAGAATAAGAGCAGATCAGACACAAGGACAGAACAGGTCTCTCAGGAGTAAGCGTGTACCTGGTGCACTCACAGCGCTCCAGGAGACTGGGCCCTGCAGGATTCCCTTCTCTTTTTTTAAATGGTATGTTTCTGAACTTTTTTAAACAGAACTACAATTTCAAATGGATAAATTGTATGACAATAAAGTCCTACAGGAAGTGAGCATAAGAAGTGGGGAACCTGGTACAGCAACAAAGGGCTCCAATTTGTCTCCCGTGCTCACTCCCCACCTTTCCACTTTCACTTTCTCGCCACCCCCTGCAGCTGTGGCCATATCCGAGAAGGTGGAGCTTCGGAGGGTGCAGGAGAGCCACCTACATCTAGATCTGGCTACACTGCAGCTTCTCATGTAGCAGCATGGGGTTCGGGCTCCAGCTTCTCGTTGCAGGGGATGTGCAAGACATGCTCCGTGTCACAAGACACTGCGAAGCAGTTCTCAGACACTGTGGACCCAAGATCCCGGACGGGTCTTAAGATCCTTAAGGATCCCAAAACTCTTTCGTTTATGTAGGCTATGGCTACTGATATTTATGAGATTATAAAGTAAAACAGAGAAATCTTAACAAAATATTAGGATTAAAATTAATCTTAACATTAAGTGCCAGTAAGTAGTAAGCCATTGCATGTTAATATATTTTGGTAAGGCTTAATATGTGACAGCAGGACTCTGTACCTGAACTGCTACCAAGGTTATTCTGCTTGAAATAAATGAAACTTGGGCCTTACACAAAAATGGCAATGAGTTGGTAAGATAGCTTAGTGGACTAAGCACCTGCTTAGGCAAGCGCAGGGACCAGGGTTTGATCTCCAGCACCAAAGGCAGTGCCAGCTCCGCCCCTGGGAAAAATGAGCCAGCAACCAGGTGTGGCAGCGCATGCCTGTAATCCCTGCGCCAGGGAGGCTGAGACAGGAGAATCACTACCAGTCCAAGTTGCATAGTAAGACTGTACCAAATACATTAAAAAAAAAAAGTCAATGAAAAAGATTATAAATACCCTTTGTTATTACACCAAAATTACTAGTTCCTTAACAGTTAGTTCCCCATGGAACTGTGAATCCCACCAAGCAGTTTTTCAGATTCTGTTTCAATTCACTGGTCTGTCCTGTACTCCGAATGGATCCTTTACCCACCTACAACTCTGCAACACCAAGGCTGGTTGTCAGGAACACAGTCACTAAGTTAGGAAGATCTTAATGACGCTGGCATGTTTCATTTTACAATACTCTAAAAATCATGCTTGTTGATGCCAGCTCAGTCTTATCACAGGTCTTTTGGAAGCTTCTAAGCTCACAGTGGCAGGCAGACACAAATTTTCCTAAACTGAATTTTCACTCGAAATCATCTACAACTAAACTCTCAGTTACTTTGTCACCAGTTAGCAAAAGCTCTAGTTATTTTTATCGAAGTTGTCTCGAAAAGACCAAACAAACAAACAAGCCAAAGTATTGTATATTTTAAGATATACCTTAAAGTACTGAAGGAAAACAGGTATGCATGTGTGGTAGGATGGAGAATGTCTGATTTCCAAAGGATTATGAGTGTTGTAATTGATACTAGTTTTTTGGGGTTTTTTTGTTTTTTTTCCTGGACCTGAGAACACTGGTACATGATTGTTCAGAGAAAGGAAAACAAAACAATTCATTTTGTATTAACAGATTATCTAGCCGAATGAATATTCTATGCCTTATCACCTATCTTAATGAAAAAATGTTATTTTTATGTTATCACCAATAACAATATGGCTCACGGGGAATTTGGGACTCATTTTTTTGTTTGTTTGTACTTTAGGAAAGAGTCTATAGGGTGTTCAGGGTCTCACTACTAGATCGGACTTATAGTGATCAGCCCGTTTACAGCCTCCCAGGTGCTGGGATTACAGGCGCATGCCACCATGCCCAGTCTCAATCACCATCTCAGCGCACCCCGGGGGCGGGGCTGGCACAGCAGGCCTGGGAATCAAGCCCCCGGCCCCTGTGCCTGCTTGCAGGCACTTTAATCTGCTGCGCTATCTGGCTGGCTCTGGTATACATCTTTCATAAAATTCACTAGTTATGGGCATCTTTGCACAACTCCAATAACTATTAATTCTATCACTCAGAGCTGAACACAGATAACATCTGAAGACATTTCCTTCTAATCAAGTTTGTATTTAACAGAGTTGAAGTCAGACAACAGACAACTCTGTACTCTACCTTCCCACTTACGTAAACATACACAAAATTTACTAGTTATAGTAATTTACGTACATACTAAGAAAGTCAGATAAAACCATTAATCTAAAGTCGTGATTAAGTCTTGTGTACATGGCTCTGCACACTTCCTGGATTATGTTCCTCATGATCTCAGATGAATGACCATGGCAGTGGCTAAGATGCGCGCCACCCACTGACACAAAGGCTCTACTGGGTCTTCCTAGTCCTACAGGTGAAACAATGAGCTTACTCTTAAACAGCAGATCTAGATGAAGATAAACTAAACCAAAACCATGCCAAAGTATTCTGCAGATTCTTGTGCTGCAATTAACTGACATGTAAACCTAGAGACTCGCATCATGAACTTAGCATTTTGGGATCTCACAGTATGAAAGCTTGGCTTAAATGAGAAAATAAGCCCCATACCCCGACCAATAAAAAAAGTCCAGTTATACAAAAATGTATTTGCACTAGCATTGTTTAGCGTAACTGATGGTCAAATAAGTGAACTAAAATTAATATGAACAGGCTAATATCTAAAGAAGCAACAGTCTTCCCTCTTTGTATTTTTGAGACAGGGTCTTGCTATGTAGTTTAGGCTGGCCTTGGACTCAACAGCCTAGCTTAGTCTGTAGAGTGCAGGGATAACAGGCATGAGCCAGCCTCCATGCCCAACTTTCCCCCTTTTTAAAAATAAATGCTTACAATCTGAGGGTGCAGAGAACTGGTCCACCCATCCTAGTGACTATGCAAATTTACACACTCCTACAAGGTTCAGAGCAGCAGGCTCCCTTAAGATGCTTCACAACCCCTGCTATATTCTAAGGAACTTAGCATAAACAAAGTGATCTTCACAAATGGGTATTTATTTAGTGCTACCTATAACCATAAAATCTGAAGGTACATTTTCTTCCACTTAGCATTAGGGCACTAATTTAATAAATTCTGCTATATTAACATCATAAGATGTTACAAACAGCAATTATTTTGCAACAATGTTATGAATCATTACATAATTACATTTGCTATATAAGAAATATTTATATCTATAAATATTAAGTATACTTAAAACAAGGGTTTTTTATTGGTTTTGGGTTTTTTAAATTTTTTATTTATTTTAAAAACATAAAACAGCAATGAAAAAATGAGAAAAAAACATAAAAGCAATGAAAGTTTCAAAAACAGGTAAGACAGTTATAGTAATTAATACATTGTGTATTGTTGTCTTCATAGTATTCAGAGGACAAGATGTAGACATGAAATTTTGTCTGAACCCTATAGTGCAACCTTTGTTCTCACTGAATTTTTTTGGTTTTCGTTTTATAAACATGGTGCAATACTTACACAGCAGGAAACCTGACCTGACCAGAATTGACAATCTTTATCTTACACAGCAAAACTAGTCAAATGTTTTACGGCACAAAAACAGTGACTATTAGACAGCGAAGCATACATATTCATGTTATACCTTTCTGACAAAAAAATCTGTAACATCTGTACTCAGGATTTGAGACTATGGACTACATTAAGAATTACATACGATTTTATTTAAAATATGGGCAAAAGGTATGTTGGCTTAGTGACGCCCGCACTGTAGTAAAGTGAACTGGAGATCAGACTCACACACATTTTAAATAAGAAACCTCCGCCGATGGCGCAGCTTGGGACTCCCTGTGTCGCACACCTCCTGAACCGCGACAGGCGGGCTGGGCAGCTGTGACGGCAGCACAGCCACTGGCGCTGCTGCGCGGGAAGCTTCCTGTCACGCCCACCCCAAGCTGTAGATGCTCGGCTCTTCTCCTCCCAATACAAAGAGCACTAAGGTAAAGGCGGTGGTGCTAACTGTGGGTGAACAGGTTCTTCTCAAAATAAGAAAAAAGCATGAATTTAGGAATTTATAATCTGACCAAAATTAAATATTGCAAATAGATTACAGAAAAATTATTAAATCAATTTCTACAGAAGTATAATTTTCAAAGTCTGTGCTTTCAAGACTCCATCATGATTTACAGTTCTGCCACATCTGAACACACGGACTATTCTGAACATTCTGGTCCTAAATGAACCTGTTCCGCCAACTGACTACGCACTTTGCCGTCTTTCCCATCACTCAGCCCATAGCTATTCAAAAAGTGTAACACTTCCAAATATTATTCCTATGAAAAAATATATTTGGGCTAAATCACTCCCTAGCCAAAAAACCTAGTCACTGCCTCGTATGGAGGGCATTACAGAGTCTCCCATTAGTACAGGCAGAGAGCAGCGGACACAGCGATGGCCTACCCTCGGCTGGGCTGGTGGCACGCACCTCTGATCCTCACGGAGGGGGACGCAGGAAGACTGCTCAAAGCCTGAGGCTCTCCTGGGCTAGCTGCACAGTGCGTCCAAGGCCTGTCTGAATTACACTGAACACCTTGTCTCAAATTAAGTAAATA